TTTACTGGCTTTACTTATTCTTATTCTTCTTTATTTCCTTAGTCTTTATTTCCGACAAAAAATCACGCACTTCCACCAACATTTTCAAAATATTGCCGGCTGGATGTACTACGAGTACAATTAGTACTTGGAATAAAGCTTTGTTTATATCTTGTACTGATTAATATAAATTACACTTTTATTCCACTAAAATGTTTATTAGGGCCAACCCGAAATTCTGATGACTAAGGATTACATAAGCCAAGTGAAATATACGTAATAAAGCAGAAAAACCATATCTTTACTCGAAACTATTGTACTAACAAGTGAAAGTATTTTCTTTTTATAAAACATTAACATGTGATCTGATCATTTATTAAAGAGTAACCATTACGAATGAAAGCGCTGAATTTGCGTTTTTTTTAGTTAAAAAGAATCAAATCGAACCAAACTTTAATGTAATGGTGTAGGATTGGTTTTCGTTTGGAGCGAGTGTGCGAAGTGAAGATCGTGAGAAGTGATTTTGTAGCGGCTCAGAGCAGTTTGGAAGTGAATGACACTCACAGTAGAGAGTGTTGGACGAAATTCGCCATTTTATGTAAAACCTCACGCGAAATCGAATGCAGGCGATTTTAAAATTCACGTTTACATTATAAAATATTCTTTTAAAAGCAAAATATAACGAGTGTCTATGACACATTACATTTATTCACACTTACTTACTTAGAATTTAAAATTATTATAAATTGAAAGAACTTTGCATCATATCAATATACGATAAAAATAAAGAAATACTGATTCAAACCAGATATGTTTAATTTTTTACATCACAAGGTCGATCTTAAAGATAACAAAAAATATATATATATATTTATCTATCTATCTATATATATCTGTGTAAAAATATTTTTTTAAGCTGTCTGGGTTGATTGCTTGAACATTGATGAAAATAAACAATTGATGAAAATAACAAATAAACAAGAAAAAGTAACAAGTGCTAAAGAAATTCGTCAATCCTGTTAGGTTCTGGGCAGATCAGTGGTTAGAGCAAAGGCGCCCGGATTGCGAAAGGTTGTTTTTCAATAAGAATATCTTCCGGTATAGTATTATTAATGCAAAATTGATCGAATGTAATAATCTAATCTAATCTAATATAAAAATAAAATAAATTATTCATTTTGCAAATCATTATGCGTTAATCGCGACCCACAAATCATTTCAATGATGTAAATAGCAAATAAGATATCTGTATTAAATATAATTTTGATACTGCGATTATAATCTGATAAATTAGAGAATATTATACAAATTAGCAGATATTCATGTTTGTTTATGCGCTTGGTTACTGCGCAGTGGGTTTTGATGGATTGGAGTCTAAAATAATTCTCGTTAAAAATTTGTCCGCTAAGATTCACACCATTTATGCGTTATACTTTGGCGTAGTGTAAAACTTACAAAAAAATAGCTTTCTGTTGGTACTTTAAAGTATAGTAGCAACTGCGTGGTTACAATGTAAGTTATTATCACTACAATTTGCTTAATATTAAATTATTTACTTCATAACATTGAAATATATAACTATTAGTGACATAATTAGTATAAAAAGGACAGACATACGTGTCAATTCAAATTACAAAATCAAAAATATTACAATATAAAAATTTGTATTATTTTTTTAATGTTCTGTGGCAGTGATAAGGCTAAAGAAATAACATGATGCATATTTCCATTGCTGTAAAGGAATGAAAAAAAATCGAAAAAGAAATATTAATAACAACAAAATTTACACGGCGGTAACTCTATGTAAAGACTAATTGCAAGTCGCGACGATAGAAAAAAGCGTGTAGGGTGTTTATGCCCTAATAAACTTCATATTGCAACAACACAAACAACTGTAGCAGGATACTTTGAGAATTACTGTAGGTACTATTTTTTCATTATCCATTTAAATTTTTTGTGTTAATTTATTAATCTTTAATCTACTTAGTAATTATTCAATGTCGAGCACAGCGCTGCCTCACCATCTTTTATTCAGATAAAACTTACTTCAAAAGGCGAAGTTGTATGATGCGACACCGCTATGCTGTAGCTGTTATACTACAGAAGCACTTCAGATAATTTTTTTGCCCCGAGATTGGTTATTTTTTAATGTTAAATACGTTTTCATTGTATTAATATACTAACTGTTGTCCCGCGACTTCGCGCGCGTAAATTATAACCTATGTCAACCCTGCATGTCGTAGCTACACGTAGGTAAAATAATTTTTTAAATCGATCCAGTAGTTTCAAAGCGTATACGATGCAAACAAACATACAAACAATCAAATCTTTCCTCTTTATAGTATTAGTATAGATTATTTCATATTTGAGAATGATACATCCATTCAGTTTAAAGTATCACATCCTTTCTACTTAGTGAAAAACTGTAATACAAAAATAATATGTTGCGTAGATATTTTGTAGATTAATTGTTATCATAAATTTATTAGCATACATATAGCTTTAAGGGTCATATCTCAATGTAACGCATGCACAGACTTAATTGCAGTCATAAATTTCTCAAGGTACGACCGATCATGACGAAATTGCACTGCGTGGTCTTAGATCACGGCAAATTCGATGGTCCATTAATTATCGTTAATAAAACATGATATTATGTGCTACTGACTGACACTAGATATATTATAAGAGGATAAAAAAAATAAGAATCAAAGAGGTGTAATTCAGTCTCTGAAAAATAAGTAAACTCTGGTTTTAGAAGTTTAACCGCCATATTGTCTTTTATTTTGGAAACAATTTTAAAATAAGTTATATAATTATTATATTTGATAGTTACATAATATTACCATCGTTTTGTGTTGTTTTGAAATTAGTATCATTGTTAGCCGACTTCAAAATAAAAAGGAGGTTTAAATTCGAATTTATATGTTTTTGTATATTCTTAATTGAAGTATTGCGATAATATTTTAAAATCTGGGGTACCACAGTTAATAGGGTCATTAAATATTTCTAAAAACGTTTCACTGTTCAAAAAAATAAAGACATGCCATTTTTTTTAATGTAACTTATAGATTTATACCTATATGCACATAATTAAGTACTAAATATATATTAATTGTAACTTAAAATATAAATGATTTCTGTTAAATAAATAACACAATGATGATTTAACACAGAACAAGCATCGTGAAGGTCTTTGAATATGTAACGCCATTTAAAATATCCTTGTAAAATATATGAGTTCAAATGTCCAACCTTTAAGTTTTGAGGTCACGTTAAGTTAATTTTGTTGTTTACAAATGATAAAATGTAATCTTTAGTATATAGAGAGAGCTAATTTTGAAGAAAAAATAATTAGTTTAATTTTGAATACATTTTTCTTAATTCATAATATCATTAGTTGGCCTAGGGAATCACTATTATCTGATTCGTCAAGAATTCCAAATTTAAAAATATCCCAAAGATAATTAATTCCTTTTTTAATTTTAAATAGTCAACTTAGTCGAGCTATTATTAAATAATTTATTCTATTACGTTTTCATGTTGTTTTTGGTCTACTATAAAGATAGAGTTGATAAGGGCACAAACAGATTGCGCGTTAAAGAATATTTTCCACAGTGCATCTCTTTTGTTGCGTAAAAACGTCTTCACATAGAGCCAGAATATTAACAAAATGTGTTCGGAGTTGATCTGTGGGTAAACCTCTTGCTCTACCATACGGAAATGCTATAATAGAGAAAAAGATAAAGAAATCGCTTGTTGATATAGTTTACTGCTAATAAAATGCCGTAAATCTTTCAGTGTGTGAAGAATATCTGTAATATTAGAGAAAACTTGGATATAATAATAAACCTTGGAATAACCCACATCCACTATCAGTGCGGATTGTTGAGTGCGAAAGATTCCAAATTTGATGAATAGCTAATAAGCATGCCTTCTGGAGTACGGATGGGTTCTAGTTGGTATATTATCAGTCACCTATCCGACGACTGGCCATTATGAAAGTTGATTAATCTTCACAATCGCGAGCCTAAAGTTCTAATCACTGCAACATCGAGCGCCAATAGTTTCTAATGTAACACGTTAGTAATTGTTACATTGTAAGCATACCAACTTCAAAGGTCCCCAAGATAGTTTAACTGGCTTACTTTGGTCGTTAAGCGATGTTATAACTTAAGTTTCAATAGTAAAATCTATCCCAAACACCATAAATGTTAGAAAGTTATCACTTAAGTGCTCCGCGGTGAATCGACACGATGTAGAGCTGGCTCGCATTGATTAAATTAAACGACTTTGCAAAACAACTTAACGCCATTAACGACGTTATGATGGTCACATGTTATTTAGAAATAGTGTAAAAAAATTAAACGATATGATTAGACTTTAATTTTTCTCACTCTACAAAAAATCAACCAATCGTAATAGCCGGAAGAAAATATAAAACCAACAAGAAGTGTACTTTTTCCTATAATATAGGTGCAGCTTACACCTATATTATAGTTAACAATCTTCACTTGAAACCATATACCTAAATACGCAAAAAAAAATGAACTAAGGACATTGACGCTGGTAAATAACTCAAAATACTATCTAACCGAATAAAACAGTTGAGGGCAGTTTAGTTTTTTTCAAAAATCGTTTAAATACTGACCATACAATGAGCCAATTCTGCGTTGTTATGATAAAAGTTCTATGGACAAACCTAATCTATTACAATAACGACGTTATTTATCAAAACAACTTGTTATTATTGAGAGTAGGTACGAAATTGAATTCTTACACTTACATTAATTTTATCATAGATTTTGGACGATTGCTACTCAATTCATATAAACGCTTTCATTAACTTTCTTTAAGTAAGCATAATTATTGAAAGATACCATCTTAAGGTAGAGCAATTATTGCAAAACATCCTACACTTATAAGAATTGCATGTCATTCGGGAATAATTACATAATCTTAAATAGAAATTGTAATAAACATCGAAACACAGTTCAAAAATTTCAAAAGGTCGCACTTACCTGGTCCAAAACGCAATCCAAAGTGTCACTGATCCGTCCACATGCACCACAATTATATTAATAAAAATATAATAATAATAATTCCAACAACAGCATTAATATATAAACAAATCGAGTTTCAAAATTGGAACACTGCAACACTTCTGTCACTGTCAGATATTAGTATTCCGTAGCACGAGCGGTGTAACGTCGGTCAGTATGGTGGCGGCGCGCGTGGCGCGTCCGTCTACTCGGTCGCGCGGCCCGCAAGTCACTGAACCAGCGGCTCGGCTGCTGCCGCGCCCCCGACCGGTGGTTGCTCGCGTATATTTTTATTGTAACTCCTGTGGCGTTATCATTGTCAAATGATGGATTTAAGAATATGGGTCAACTGGCTAGCTGATGTCTCTATGTGGCGATAACGAACCCAGACCGAACGCCTCTTATCAGTTGAAAACGTACCAAAAATACTTACATGTCAATTATCATTCAATCGTTGTCTCTCTTTTAGAAAACATTTCTATACGCTTTGATACCTAGGAATACATATTTCAATAAAAAATATTATAGGCGCTATTATCATTACCAGCCTATGAGATATCTAGTCTCTGTCATCATCGTTACAGTTGGGACACAGACCTTCCCTGCTTATATCGAAAAAGAAAAATAGAATAGAATGTTAAGAATGGAATATAGGGGACTAGAGTCTTTATAGAAGTACAAAAAATTAATACGCTACTTAATTTCTATTTTTACAAAACGCTTCCTTTTCAAACACTCAAAAAAGACGATATCGAGAGTACTCTGCGATCGAAAAATCATTACCCACATGATTTACCTTGCGACATTATCAACAAGCTGTGTTCGCCATAAAAGGTTCATATTATTACCACTAGCGGGCGACCTCCGGCCTAACTAGGAAGTTATTAATGTCTACGCTAATTATCGCCGGGTGATTTCACTCGTAAAGTCGATTGGCTGCGTATGAAGGTGAAATGGAAAAGTTCAGAAAAAAAACCTTTTTTTTTTTCGAAGCGCCAGAAAAAGCCTGTTACGAGTTTGCAACGACTTTGAATAAAGGTATAAAAAAATATGAGACCATAAATCTATAGAGATAAAATAATAATGTAGATTCAATTTGTACACACATTTTCAGCATTATTTTAAACAATTAATAATAACAATCTGCTGTTGATCGGTGAGATATGACCTGGTTTTTGGTGGATAAATTTGGGATAAATTACTAAGTTGGAGACACTGCTGCCAAATCCATATTCATCATTCTTTTTTATTTGTTCTTCGATATTAAAGCACATGTCAAAATAGTAAAATGAAGCGAATTAGCGCTACAACATCGCTAAGCTGTTGTATCCTATGGCTAGAGAGAGTAATAGCTAAAGGAATTAAGCAGTACTTACTGATTTGAAATGATATAGTTCTAAAATGATATAATAAAAATTTTAAGGGAAGGAAAATAAGTCATGTTTCCCAAAATTGGAAAAATCAAGAAAAACGTAAAACGCTTTTTTTGTAAATTGAATAAGCCTAATTCTTTGTCCTTTTTTTCCTTTTAGTCTGGGAAAAGTTATGAAAAAAAATAAGTGAGATAATATTTGTCAGTGTATTACTGTTTTATTTATTCATGATATCAAGGAAAGGATATATTCGGAAATATTCTGATCTATTAGCTGAATAAACAACATATTTATTCAATAAGTAGTTACTACAAAATATATATTCATAAATTACGGTAAGACTTCCAAAAATGTCTACGTCGTCGTTTCTAGAAAATGACATATTATATTTAATCTTGTATAGTAAGTATATTTTAAAAATTGCCGAATATATTGCAGTTTAAAATTATTTATAATATTTATAAACGTATCACGTATTTGTATCAATAATTATGAAGCGCCGAGGGCAGCCGACCTGTTACGACACGAGCCGAGTGTTGCCGAGCGCGCCCGAGCCGTGGCGGCCGCGAGCGAGGCCGCGCGGCGGGAAGCGCTCACAAACAAGGCTGTTTCTTTTCCCGCCGAGCCAACGTCACGCTAACTTTGTTTAATTTGTGACTTTGTATTGTGTTGCCAGAATAAAGATAAAAGCATCTAAATTATAAATTGTTTGCTATGTAATTTGTAAGGTTATTTTGTATTAACATTGTAATTTATGTGGAAAAATTATTAATTTTTATTGAAATTTCAAATATAAATTGTTTCCCCCAGCCTATTGATATAGGAGACATTACTTATCTATGGATTGACAAGCGTATATTATAACCACGAGGGCTCAGTATGGATTGATGGGTATTAACGACTAAATCGATCACAATCTCTTTCAATTTGACATTTCAAAGATATTCTTTAACTTCACTCTACGAATATTTGATATATGAGTGCGATTGTAATCGCGACATTTTTGAAAGATAACTAATGAACTATATCGTTAAACTTTAATTGATATTGTCTAAGGCTAGTGTTAAACCCAAAGATTACTTTAATTTACTAAATTTTTATTACGTCTAGAACGGAGAATCTAAGATAATAATAAGTGGTAGTAGTAGCAAATTTCTGATATTCTGATTTTCGACTTTCACAAGTGCTCTATAAAAGCCTTAACTGAATAAATAAATTTTGATTTTGATTTTGATACCCTGGTTAGGCTAACTCGGTTTAAAGGTACTGTAGTGATATTCTATCGTACACAGGTTTAGTCTGCGACAGCGTAATATTCGACGCAGTATTTTTAACAGAATACCAAATCTGTAGACCTAATGACACTGTCGGAAAAATTCTTGATACTTTCGCTCACAATATAGACAGCCTGCTAATTATTTTAAAAACAAAAAAATACAACGCGAAATTATAAGGATGGATAAAATTGATCGCATGTTATTAAACGATGAGGTTAGAAGCGCAAAAAAACTAACAAGCTTTATGAATAGAATTTTGAATGTCAAGTAAATTAAAGACATTATTAAAACATGGTGTTTTAATGATAGAGAGATATATCCCGCAAAAAAAACAAACTCGAAATGCGAACAGTAAATAATCGAAACCCAAGTTTTCATCTTATATTTCGTAATCTATTTATCAATATCAAATAAATACTAATCCTTATTCCTGACAGAACGTTATTAAACATTTGCTAATAAACAAAACAGTGTTGCCTTGCGTAAACGCATCACTCCATCAAGTTCAAGTGTGGCAACGTTTGTTTTCAACCGAGGAGCGGTGTTTGAGGACGGATCGTAACCAAACATTTGAAAAGTGGAAAAACGTGAAGCGTGTTCGGTTGCGAACAATTACGAAAGTGTGCGACCTTATGTGAGGTCGTGCGAAATGTAAGGTCACTGACTCGAGGTGAGGTCAAGTTTTTGTTAGGGCTGCGTACACAGGGGGCTATTTGATGAATACTAATATCTTATATAATCACTTGTTAATGGCTCGTTAAGTATTACGTCTGAAATGTAATGTAGAGCAAGATTATAATTGATTCTATATAATCAATTATATTGCGAATGCTATAAGGTTGCATTAATTCTAATTTGAAAAGCTCTACGTTTTTAATTTAACGAATCATGAAACGGACAGACTTGTTTAAATTATTAGCATGGTAGTGTGGGAGTGAGGATACTTTTTGTCTGTTTCACAGCCTAATTGTTTATCTCTCTCTAATTGAGATTTGACAACATGACTTTTAAGTTTATAAAATACGCAATGAGTACAAGACTTCGACTATTTATTCATGAGGAGAAATAATGAAAATTCGAATTAATTTTGGGAAAGTAACCCAAAAGTAAATGGTATGGTAATAAACTGACTGAAACTTGGAATTAAATATAAATTATGACAAATCAGCATTTTTTACTACGTATCAGTTTCGCTTAATAAATGTAATTGGCGGATGGACAGATAAACGCAAAGTAGTCCGATCAGGTTTCCGGTTTCTCCTATTAAAGGGAGGCTAAAAGATATGCAGTTCAGTAGATGATATTTGGATGATAATGGCTGAACTGATAACTTTTATTCACAAAAACACAAAATAGCACCTAATTATTCAAGTGTTGATTTCAATAAAACTACGTTTTTGTGTTGTTTTATAAGATAGGTACTAGCTTTCCGCCAGCGGCTTCGTCCGCTTTGCCTTTATTTTACATTTGTATGTTAGCTCAGTTTTTCCTTGTAACTCTATATATTTAGATGAAATCTTATTAAAATCTGTCTATATATATATTATATCTAACCAGAACAATAACAAATTGAAAATACTATATTTCAAGTCGGACGGTTAATAATTATCACGAAACGGGAACATAGCGAGAAAAATAAACAATGAAATAAAAACTTTAAAAAAAAGAACTAACCTCAAACTTAAAAATGTAAAAAATAATACTTATCTCAACAGCAATTTATTTAAGAAAATTCTATTGAAGTAAGGCAGAGGTCTTCTGTAAGTTTATTAATTAGATGATAGGGGACTTCAATAGAATATTCATGAAGAAGTCGCTTTTAATGCAAAATAGGCAATTTTTTTTTTGTTTTTTTAGCTGAAATACAGTATACATCTCATCTAAATATTTAGGTGATATATGGTGAAAAATGCATTTTGTTTTGATATAAAAAGAAAACTACTGATTCGATTTCGATTAAATTTTAATAAAAAAATTAACTTCGGTCTCAATTAAATTTTATAAAAAAGAATCGGTCAACAATCGGTGGAATCATCGGTAAACAACGTCTTCGAAAATCTAACCTTTTGGATTTTGAAGTTGGTTGAAAACAATAGTACACGACTACAAGAAAAGCACCCTAAACATACAACATATCTCCATGCGTATCCCTAGCGGGGGAGAGAATAGGCAACTTGAATATGTTAACCGAAATTTTATAATACTAAATTTTGGGGTTTTAGTTCCAAAAACCTCTATAGTTAAAGCGATGTCAAAGAGGTTTTACGGTTCGCCACCAGGATAGCTCTTTCATTATGGCTTTCAGCGATTTTATATCTTCGAAGCTGAGCCATCTGTATCAGTGGTCCCCACATTAATATAGGAGTTGTTTTTGTGTATCACGCACTTATTTACAATATCTGCAAATGTCAGCGTCACTTAAAAAATGTGACAGGAAATTGTTTTTGTTTAATTTGCAGTGCCCGATTAAAGCTCTAATAATCGCACGGATACTCATTCTATAGAACTTTAAGTATTACTGTTAAAAATATTAATATTTACGCCTTTCTTTTGGTAAACATTTGAGAACGTCACGTATGTT